TTTCTTCTCTGCCAAATGAAAATAACCTAACCCCATCAAAGGTACACTGATTTTCTTAATCAAGTCCAAATTGTGTCAGCTTAGTTTTAATACTCTATTAGAACGAATAACTTGTCGAGTGCTTGTTAGGCACCTGCTTTGTTTGTATACCACATATTTCTCTTGCTGTATTCTGTAGCAACTGGCAAAAATACCTGACGTATACGGTTGATTCATACAAAACCCGATCACTGGATAACGAATATGTCATATATAACGTACGCTTTTCCTGACGAGCGGGAAAAAAAGAGTGTTTCCTACGATGTGTTGCTAACACGCGAACCAGCTCGCTGATGACCCTCGATGTGAACTTCGGCCCACTTCACAGCTGCTGTGTTAGAGACGCTAAAGCAGATTTTGATTATAGAAAAGATACCCATATACTCGCCTTCAATCACATTAGATTAATATATATACACATCATATACCACAGCAGTATACTGTCTATTTACGTATAGCGGACGATGTGTCCCCTATCGAGTGGCTTTTAAGTAGCTCAGTGACTATTAATCATATATATATATATATATATATATATATATATATATATATATATATAATAAATTAAACTTAACAGTACGAGCGATACGAGGAGGATGGTAAATTTTTAGCATCTTTAGAAAACTTTGTAAACCAAAATAATGAAATTGATGTGGGTTTATATCTTGAATGACCAGTGCAGTCGATACAAAACTTTGAAATAATGTTTTCTAAAGCGATTTTACCCAATAAACACCGGCTTCTGTTTGCAGAACAACCGTTAAACCTTATTTAACTTCTTATAGGGTTGCATAATATGCTGAAGATCTTGTACACATAGTATAGGTAGACATATGATGCAGCACAATCTATTTCAAAATTGCTTCGCCTTTTTCTAACAATTTTTGCGTTGATAGTTAAAACCTTTACCTTTAATCTCTATTGTGTTCTCAATCATTTTCTTGGCGTTTAGATTATTGGTAGGGTCGTATGCTTTTGAACATTTTCATCCTAAATTTCTAAGAAAAAGTCTCTAGCCAAAACATTCTTGAGTATTATCTATCGTACTTGTTGAATTTGGAACACTAGATAACGACAGCTTCTAGACAGAATAACTTCAAAGACCATAACGTCGACACGTTCTCACGAGGGTCTTTTCGCAGTCTCGGTAACAACATCAGCTTCAATGTGTTTAGAATCGCGGCTAATCCTTTATGATTGTTCATTTGCAGGCATCCATTCCTGTTAGGAGACTCTTAAACATCGATGTTTCTATTTAATTTTCAAGTAAAAAATTGTATTTTTTTAATCACATAAGTAGTATGTGACTGAACTGTGTTGAGGAAGTTAACTCAACTATATATCGAGCTGTCTCGATGCTCAGCTTCCGGCCATATTTGTTTTGATTTTCTGAAGCTACCCCATTCATTGCTACATTTATCTCAAGGTAGAAAGTAAAGAGAATATCTTGCAGATTATTCAAAGAACGCAAGCTTACTTACCTAACCAAAGATAATTTAGGCTAGGCCTAAAGGAGTTGGGCTGCACATGAACGGAAAAAGTATGAATTTAATGGATACCGTAGATGGCTGAAGTTCCGCAGCACTTTGCTATCCGTAAACGACACCTGTAAATAAGACTGCCACATTGACAGCTAAGCGCAGAGAGATAGTTGGCGATATACAGACTTATTTAACATAGATTTGTGCAGTCTATGGAACTCATTCTCGTTAAACTGATACAATTCTGGGACAATTGGCTTGATCCGTGTCAAATATATGACGTATTTTGTACAGCTTGTTTAACATATGTACTCAGAGAAACCTTTTACATAGATCTTTGTTTTAAGTAACGTAATTTATCTGAATTGAGCAACGGAGTAAAGGACTTACTTACAGAAATTAATCTAAACTTCCTCAGCGAAATACTTTGCGTATTTAAATTTTTACTTGATTTCAATATGGGACCGTTGATCCCTGATTTTTCAAATTCGTAAACCTAGCTTGGAAATAGAGGATTTAATCTATGAAAATAGGAACAAAGCGATCAGATATTTCCATCGACTGTTCTACTTAGGTATGTTTACCCACGTATGAGCAGCCTAAATAAATGCTCGCAGCCATATGTAATTGTTTCGATTTATCTTGGTGGTGTACTTTGTTTTCCCTACGATTTCTGCCGATGATCTTTTTCCAGTTCTTTTTTCAGTAAATTTGTAGAAAAAAAGATGCCTTACAATATAGGTCGAGCGTTGTTTTGGTAGCCGGCGAGCAGACTGGCTCGTGGAGGTGGAGGTGGAGGTCGAGGCCCTGAAGAGTAGATGGGTTGGAAAGAGGCGGGATTTTTGTAATAAGCTCAAAACGGCTCATGTGCGTGTTCCTATAACGAATGTAAGTACTGTGAATAAAAACAAAGTGCTATCTAATGGGGACTGTGGACAATTCAAGAGATTATCAATGTACACAGTAAAAAATACCCCTGTCATAAATGTTAGTAGACTGGACACCTTTCTGAGCAGAACATAAATGGTCAGACTTCAACTAGTATGTGACGTAGTGAACGAAATTAAAAATCATGGACCAAAATGTTCTTGTTATTCTCTCTGATTCGGCATGGCGTGACAACATCTTTGATAGAGTACAATATTTATCATTTTACATCTCTATTCGTACGAAGATTGTTTGCAATCCTTCTGTTATTTTCTGCAAATCCTTCTGTTAATTTACGTGGCGTATACATTTTCGAAATCTCTTTGATATGACCCAAATGAAGCATGATCAGCTGATGGCACATCATCTAAATCGAGTCCAACTGATGCTTCCGTAACGGAGATCTACATGTTTTTGAATATCATTTGCCTCCCAGGCGTTTCCTTGTGCAGCGTATGGCCTCTGCGTGCACCACACGTTCATCTCTGTATTTAAATGAGTTCTCAACGTAAACGAGTTTTCGACAACGAGTAAACAAATGCTTTAAGCTCCTGTTACTTTCGTGCACTGTAGTTATAAAGTGTTTCTAAACTGCCATCATCTCAGATGAATGTGATATGGTTTTTCTATACGGATAGATCATATCTGTGCTGTACGTCTAAGGTTTATACTGGAAGAAAAGCAAGTACGCATTGCTTACCTAGTAATACAGATCTATACATAACATTTTTTAAGAGGCTCTATAGCTTGAAACGACCTAGCAGTAAGTATGCCTCTGGGAGTAAACACCTCTAACGTATATGTCTGTTTTGAAGGAGCAACACATAAGAATGTGCGCAAACAATTCTACATATATCAAACGGGAATAATTACAAATATTTCAAACATAATTTTATTATCTCTTTGAAAAAAGAAAGAAGTTGTATATATATACATTCGTATATCTAACTGTAAGCTTTAGTTTGATAGTTTTGTTCCCATATATTTCTATATTAGGCTTCGGAATACAGACTGTCTCTCTTGACTGGTACGCGTGTTCGGTTACGAAAAGTAGAGGGATAAGATATGCCCGTAGATATTAAATTGTTCTAATGTATTCCGAGATAGCGTTCCGAACAGAAGGTGCTAACATCGACAAGTATTTTTAGCGGAGCGGCGTACATTAGCTAGCATTTGCAGGCTATCACTCTGATATTCGATGAATAAAGCTTGGCTAGCGAAGAATATGGATAGTGCACAGGCATTGTATAGACCCGCCACGGCAGTAATCCCAATAGATAGATAGATTCTAATGATTTGATGACGTTTATGGCGATGATAGATGCCCCGGCAGCGATAGCTAGGTTCAATGGCCTTTAGCAGCTTGTCAAGACCTTTATGTTGTCCTCCTGGTTCGCATCGTGTTTCCCTTTGCAATTGATCTTGCTAGTACGATAGGTAACGTTTCTGCTGCTGTCATTATAGTTTCAATTTTACAGGCCTATTATGCAGCCAGTGGTAAGCTCCTTCTGCAATTCTAGTTGGCTGGTTGATCCATTACTGGACTCACGACCGCCGCTGCTACTGGTGCAGCTGTTACTGGTGAGGATGTTACTGCTATCGCTGTTGCAGCTGTGCTGCGTACTGCCTGGTGACCGTGATGTCATTGCTCATTGCCAGCTGCCTGGCAGTCGCATTCATCTATCGCTCCAGCAGCAGCAGCAGCAGCAGCAACGACGACCGCTGCTGCTGGAGCTGCTCGAACGGCCACAACCGTCCACCGGGTTAGTGCTCACGACGTAACAGCATCTGCAACGTTAATCTCCGGTGCGGCGGCTTTCGCGCTATGCTTTTGCGCCGTCGCGGGTACGCGGCGGCCGTGTCGAAGCGTTGCCGCGCGCATGTGTCCCGCGGCAGCCGGCTAGGTTCGTCCGTCCATCCGTGGATCCGCTCGTTTGTCCGTCCGCTGTTTTATCGGAGGGAAGTGTCTCCCCACACAGCGACTCACCTCTCCCAGGGAATTATGTGACCCGACGTGTCTCAAAGGCTTCGGCGGATCCCGAATCGGCCGCGACGCGGCAAGCGCGACGATGAAATCGGGAAGAAAAAAAAGCCGATTATCACAAACAAATTAACAGTACGGGAAGAGAGACCGTCGGGAGAGGAAAAACCGAGACGCAGAAGTAGTTGAAGTCAGATAGTTTTCGTCCAGAACGAAAGGGAAGAGCCAGCGTACACGAAAGTTAACGGACGGACGGACGGACGGACCCAGCGAGCAAGCATCCGTCTATATGTCTAACAACTATCAAGGAACCACGTGAACTGGACCCCGCTGGCAAACGCTGACGCAGTCCCCTCGCGAGCCAACGTCTTCTGAAGGGCCTGCCGGACCCCCGTCAATGGTCTTGCTAGTTCGCTACAATCACATAATTCCGCTCCTCCTTTTCAACCTTCTCTTTAGGCGACCCTTTCCCGTCGGAGAGTAGCCCTTCGATCTCCTCTCACGCGGTGCGCTGGAGACCGCCCATGCTTAAAACATATATAAATTAGTAACCTATGCACACCTTGGTAGAATACGACAAGGGAAGTTTGAAGAGCGTTTCGTACGCCGTACGTACAGCAGGTGCTCCGCGCCGTGCGTGTGCCAAGCTAAACAACTGAGACAGTTTTTTTTTTGTTGTAGTTGTATTGGCGACTGTAGTAAGAAGAACAGAAATAGCTTTCCGTTGTTCTCCCCGCTCCAAATCGGCGATAGTCGGTTGCTTGATTTGAACTTTTTTTTTGAGTTATTTGTTTTGTTCGATGCCTGTAGTTTCGTTACTTCGTTACAATCGATCAACGTTAGCGCTGCTGCTCGGTTAACGAACACGGAACCGGTGTTGATTGTTTAAGCATTAGGTGATGTCACTGCGCGCGATCGGTTTCACTGTTCAGCAGCCTCTATTTGTAGATGTGTAAGGCAGACAGCGAAAGAGATAGTCCCAAGAAGAACCAGATCATCTTCGTGGGTCGCCAGATCACGAAATAGACGAAAAGAAAAAGCCGCCTGACGTTGTATCGATCTCGGATCGTTTCGCATTAGCGATTCGCTTCGAGTCGAAGAAAGCTGTCATTGCCGAAAGACGCCTGTTTACGGTCGTCGACCGTGAAAGACTTCATTAACCATGACTCGACTGCTTACACTCGGACTAGTGTTAGTAGGGTTTACCTATACAACAGCTACTGAGTACGATCGTTTCGATCCATTCGGTGATATCACCGATCGTGTGTCCGCCAACGTGAGGAGCTTACTTGATGAAGATGCGCCGCCTACAAACGTCAGTCACATATGCGTGAACGCCAGCAAGCAGTACCTCGATAATTTAAAAAAAGGCCAAGAATGGGCCCTTAAGAGTAAGTTCCTCTATTCTTAATCATTAAATATTCTAGTTAGATGACGAGTGAAGACAATTACATATTGTCACTGCCATAACTGTTGTCATTTCTGTCAACGCGCCGTGTGACATGTAGGTGCCTATATATTTTTTAGTTCACACTGTCACACGGCGCGTAAATAAATAAATAAAGCCAACGAATCGCGATCCTGCTACAAGATAAGGCTTCTTTATACAAAAATGCAATGGACTATAGCTTTTTTTTCTTTTTTTTTTTTTTTTTTTGTTGGGTGTGCGTGTGCAACAATTAAGCAATCGATAATGTTTGTGACCGGGCTTTCGAACAGCTTTTTTTTTTTTTTTTTTTACTTACGCCTAGAATATATGGAACAAAAGTTTGCCACATGCAACAATACAATGCAATTTGCAACGTTTCTCATAATTTGTTGAGATTCAGTGCCCCTGTTACGCTGTTCCTCTCTTATGGTCTTCTTTTATATGGTGGTGTCACATTAGCAAGCACACTGATTGGTTATTCTGTCAAACGATCCCGTACCATCACCAGTTGTTAGTCGCTATCTGCACGCAGTGAGATCAACTCCACTATTCTCAGCTCTCCTCTCACGCAGACCTGTGCGACTGACGCGTCTGTCCTTTCCCCGCCCGATGAACAATATCTAGTGTCTGAAGGAAGGTCAATCGTATTTCTCTGGGTGCCTTCTTTCCATGCCTGCTCCTTCGTCCTCCCACTTCACTTCGACCCCACGAGCTGCGTTGGCTACGTCGTAATGCATTGGGGTGAGTGTATGATACTTGCCTGACGATGGGTAAACCTCTCATTCGGCTCGAAACTCACTGATAGGATGACGATAATACTCAGTCTATGTCACGCTTATGTTTGGTACTATCTGCTTTTTCACAATATATATATATATATATATATATATACGCATATATACACATGTATATATATATATATATATATATATATATATATGTATAATGGTTAGCAGCGCCAAATGACTAGCTAGAGCAGCGTCGCTGACAAATTTTGGCGTATTTCGCGAGGTCGATGACCTGACAAGGCTATGTAGATTTTTGCTCGGCTTCAGCATCGAACAAACGTTCCCCGGGGTCCACACATCCGTCCGGTGTGCGGCAGCATCGAGCTTTTAGCGAGTCACTTCGATTAGATTTGCCAATTGTGTCGCCGCTTGCTACTGGCCTCTCTCGCGGTCCATAGTACCCCCACTTTTCATGAACGTTGTTAACGCCAAATGATAATGCATTTTGACAAGTGCGTGTAGAAAAGATTAAATTTAATTCAAATACAAAATGTAACAAAACACAGCCGGACAGAATTGTGTCACGCTGATCCATCGTAACTCTCGATTTCACGATCTCTGACAAATAGTACGGCCCCATTCATATGGTACGTACAGTGTGTTAGTGGATGAATCCATCAAACGGTATCTTCCTGGATATACGAACCTTTCCGGCCGGATTCGGGACGTTGCTTCGAAAACTTCTGCTAACGATTCGTATGAATTTCCACTTTGCCACACCTGGAAGATTAGAATCTAGCTATTAAATACGTGAAACCTGTGAGAAGTAGAGGGAAAAACACCTTCCTTCGTAAAAGTTTTTATCTAACTAACTTCCGTTCTGCATTTCATGCACATTATCCTGTATAGTGTTGTAAAGTAGCTGCCGAGGCGCATGCTACGGCGAGGTGCAAGTTAGCGTTTTCGATTGCTGTTCAACATCGTGATAATTCCAATCACGCCCTGGAAGGTAAACTTTGAAATGAGATCAACATCGATGAGATGACTGCTTACCTACCGATAAGCCGCCTACAACCAAGTAAGCAGTTCAAGCCTTTTCCAGACACTTTGTCGGCCCCCCGTAGGCTGACTAAGCTACGACCAAGGAACGGAGTGTGCGCAAAGGAACGAGTCGATCAACGATTGACGACAAAGCAAACCGCTGAAATGCCGAACGTCAGCAAACAATGCAGATATCGCGTCGTCGTAGTGTGATATATATATTTAGTACCGCGTACTGCTCGACTGAGTTGGTTTGCCCAGCCATCCCGCACATCAGCCAAACAGTTCGCTTCCCGCAACAGCAGCGGCGTGCCGTCGTTAAGACCACTCATCTGTACGACACTAGAACATTAGCCGATCGCATGTCTTATTATTGCTATTATCATGATTATGCTACAACTTCTATTACGACTTTTCCTAGCCTAGCAGCTGGAATCCTCCCACGAAACTGACCGAGAGGGGGGCAGAAAAACAAAGCCAGCTACAAGAGACAATTTTCGAATTGAGCCACAAGTGGCCACCGACCAGTGCCACCAATGCGCGATCGCCGGTAAACCGCCAGTAGACCGCGCCAAACGTCCGCGCGCTCACCACACACTCACACACACACACACACACAGCAGACACACACACACACAGACACAGACAGACACCCACACACACGCACGCACGCATGCAAGAACACACACACCCACACACACACACACACATACATACACCCACCCACCCACCCACCACACACACACACACACACACACACACACACACACACACACACACACACACACACACACACAGACAGACACACAGAGACACCCACACTCACACATACACGCACTCACACGCACACGCACAACACACACGCCCATACACACACGCACATCCACTCACGCACACACATGAAGACACTTTCTGCAGCTGTTGCTGGCGACACTTGTTGCGCCGTAGGAGCAGCTTACTAAAACTGCCACCACTTAGGCCAACGCGATAATAGGGCTAAAAAAACTGGCTACCAGTACCAATGGAAGCAAATGGGTGACTGAGCCACTGGATCTGGTGGGGGCACAGCGCCACGGCGCCACCAGCAAGGTTAGGGCTCGGATGATTGATGCCACACGACGACTAGCCCCGGCCGCATGGCTTCATAGTCTGTGTAAAGAGACGGCGGATTTGCCTTGATGCTGGGAGGAGGAACGAGAAGAAAGGAGTGTGCGTCGTCCTCTACATATTAAAATATTCACTTTACAAACAGCTCGTTGATTTGCCTGAACGCCCGGTCACGACTAGGCTAACAAGCGCTAGCCGCTTCTGGCCTTGTCGATGAGATCCTGTGTGCGAGCAGGAACTTGATTCTGTCGTGGGTATTCTGTTGAATTATGCCGGCTGTTTGTGTGGCCAGCTTATCGGGAACTTCTCTCGCAAATTCTCACGTCGTGGATCAACTGGCCGAGGGTGGAAAAAAGGAAATGAACTTCGAATTAATGATTAGCGTTTGAGAGCGTCTAATCGCTTACTTCTAGCGTGTGGGGAAAACGTAGCATTTTTACGTTACGAAGGCACAAATATTCATTATTTTCATTTGGGAGAAGGACTCTGCAGCGTTGATTGTAGTTGCTATGACGGCCGTCGTCGTGAATATCTCGCTAATCGTACGAGCGATGCCCTGACGAGATTAGTCTGTAAAGGAATGAGCTGGTACCGTGGATTGGTTCGATCTGTTGCGTAGTCCACACAGAATGCAACGTGGTCATAAGCCAAAATGTGCCAATAGGGGCAGGTAATGGGAAGGAAAAGGAGTTAGAAGAACGACAGTGAAAGAAAGTGGCGTACCTCTGCCTCACATGTGCCTGATCATCCATGCTCGCTAAGGATCATTTGCACCAACTATTGTATGCAACTAAGCGCGGCTTTCCCGCTTAAATGGCCATTGTGATCATGAATGAACATGGAAAAAATTAGGTAAATTCGTTCCGCTCTATTATAATTATCGCCACTTACCTCGTCAGGTTGCCGAGATATCAAGCTGCGCTCTGTTGTTCCTAAACAAAAGCAAAAAACATTACCTGCATATTACATAAATTGTATGTATACTTCTAATAATATAAACCTGCGTGAACGGAACAAAAAATGAAGCTGAACTCCAGTTATCGTCTGCGCACTGACACTCCGTCTGACGGAGCTGCGCCTGTTGTAGCAGACTTTCACGCACGGGACAATTCCTTGCCACGACCTATTACCACCGCTGCTGCTGCTGCTGCTGCTATTGTCGTCGTGTTCCATTCGTTAGAATCGATGGTCTTCGACGGTTGTCTCATTCAGGTAAGCCAATTGTGACAACTAATAAATAGCCGGTAACCAACGATCTTCTTCGTTACGTTTTTTTGTTGCGAATGTAGATATAATGTTGGCGACTGTGGCTTGTAGTCGTAGTGGTGATAGAGATGGCTGTGACAACGGCAACGAAACGCTAATTTGGATATCGCCGCTGCCGGTGGTTATATTGATGCTCGAGGCTGATTTTGTAGCTTCTACGACGCAATATGATGCGGTGCAATGCATAGTTTGGTGTAGTGTAAAGGATTCGACGGTTTAGGCGCCACGGCATTTTGCTGTGCTCCCTGTTGCTGCCGCCGCCGCCGCCGCCGCCGTCGAAGTCCGTTCAGATTCGTTCGGGCTCTTCGCTCGCCGTTAGTGAGGCAGTGGGTTTCTGTGTCGGCGGCGGCGGCGGCAAACCCGGCAAAAGGAGCGGCTGACTACTAATCCTGCTGTTCCTGATGGCCGCGGTGCTCGACGGCGGCGACGCCGGCAACGCAAGCGGTTTGAATGGCCGCAACGACGGGCACTTGGTGACGTTAGTCGCGCTAGTAGAGCTGTTGCCACGCTGATTGCCACTGGGCTGTTCATCGAGACGCCGATTTGCCGCTAACGGGCGGCACCAAATGCTGCCTTCCCGGTAGCCGCCGCGCCATTTGCTGCTGTTTACACCGTCGCTACCCCCAGCGCTATTGCTGTCGCTGCAGCCCACCGTTGCGGCGACACCAACAACAACAACAACAACAAAGATGACAACAGCAATATCGGTCAGTGACTCCAGAAATGGGGATTGTTCTGAATTTTGGGACAAACCAATTCGCGAGAAGTTCTTCTCGTTCCTTTTCCGGGAGCAAAGAACTTGTCCACAGGATAGGGGGTA